ACTTCTGACTTTAAATCAACTCTGATAATTGTTTGAGTAATAAAATAATACATGAATGAGTATTAACATATTTCAAAAAACTCCAATTGACATAGGAAACATCAATTCATTATAATTAGTATAATGAATATAATAAATTTTATTGAAGATGAGAGTTCAGTAATGAATGGATTTGGAACTTTCATATTGGTCAAAAAGGGAGATAATTTCCTAAAAGCATTAAATAAATATATAGTTTTTTTTATTTTGCAAACCTTCTTTCGGAATAGTGTTCAATCATATTGGACAGATATCACAACGAGAAAAAAGAAACAAATATCACGAAACAAAATCCAGTACTTTAGACATTACTTAAAACTACACTGAAAAAAAAATGCTAACAGTAAAACTAATACATATCCAGAATATGCAAAAATGAAATTACATTAGTACAAACAATCAGACAAATCAATTTTTAAATAATATTTAGATCTAGATATAGCACCAACTAATTTATAAATAAAGCAAATAATAAAAACTTACCTCTTGGGGATGAGTTGATGGGGGATGTGTTGTTGATTATCAGCTCTGGAGAGTCTTTGGGAAAACTTGTCGGACGTGGAAGACTAGCTCCATTCGTTTTTTTAATACTATACGAACCTCTTTGGCTGTCAGTCGCCAATTTGTCGACGATGGCCTCCAGTTCACCAAATACCTTAAAAAAATTGAAACTTGGTTGAAAACTAAAGCTTTGTTACCTAATTATTTCATAACACATAAGAATTATATTGATTTCCTAACAAGCGCCCCGACTTTGCACGGAGAGCACGAGTCATTGTGTCAGTTTGTCCATGAAGAAAGTTCTCGTTTTAACCAAACGGTGTGCTTTTAAAGATACAAGGTGTCATATCGAAATGCAAGTGTGTCAATATCACAGAACAAAAAATAATTCAATAAAATCAGCTGCCATCCCGACTGATATTATTCGCCTCGCCCCTAAGATTTCTAACCGATATATTTTAAAAATCAGAAGTAAGTCATTCGAGTCATCTTATTTTTTAGTTGTTTTAGGGATTTCAAATCATTTTCTATAGTAGACAATAGAAGTCCGAACTAGTGAAATTCATCATGAAACATTGTCAATCACCTTCAAACAAACATGATTTTGTTATTTTCCACAATCCAGCTTGTATGTACATTGTCATACATAATTCCACGACACATTACTATCAACATAAAGTAGCAGCTTTCGATAGAATATGTTCACAGACTATTGAATATTCCTCTATCCGAAAGTAATTTTCAGAAAAAATTGAATATTAAATTGATGTCAAAAATAGTTCATATACCATGTCTATCCCACTTCAATAAACAATAATAGGCGTCATAGAACACTGACATACTTTGGTGAAACCACTCGTTTTTCAGGACAGAATTGGACATGGTTTACCAGACAAATAAGTATTCAAGCAAATATACTCTATACAATAAAGACAAAACTTCAGTGTCGGAAAGATCAGGAGTTGTGACTTGTGGTTCTTGCCTAAAAATTTATATCGGCCAAACGACCTCTGATTCATTTGCCATCAATGCTGGGATAATCCAGAGCTGGCTTCTTGAAACGAATATTTTTGCCTGCCTTGGCTTAAATCGGTTATTTTTATTTCCATTGTAGATGGCAGTGAGTTTGATATACTACTTCTTTGTCGGAATCTCCGCCATAGATCACTTTCAAGAATGAGCAAAACCGAGAGAACAATAAGAACATAGCAAATTTTATGGGTTGGTGATCTATTTCTCTTGTGGAGAATATTGGTATGAAACTTGCCTTTCTACAAAAAAGAGAAAGTTATACCTGTTGTGCTACTATTCTACCTTGGTCATCACTATTTATGATATGAAAAGTGTCAAAAGGTAGACTTTCTTTGCTTGTCAGAAGTTATAATAATAACAGCTGAAAAACAGCTGGTCCCACGTCTTTAGAGAGAGGCATATCTCACGCGAGATATATGAGTATTTACTTAGTTATTCAATGTACTTATCTCAGTGCAAAATACACATTTTTTCCCTCTTTTCTATTTGAAATGACAAATATGTATGAATAGATTATATCGGACGGATTTTATTTGGCGCACATGTTTTTTTCTGAGCTGGCTATTCTGTTCATTTGTCATTATCATCATGTTGATTGTTTATAAGGTCAACTCCGCCGAATATTAGGCATACTAATTAGAAAATGAATACAATAAAAACGGTAAGTAGAACTCAGAAACGGATAATGTACACATCAACTACATATGACAACTGAAACACAGAGTAGCCAACTCAAAAAATAATACATGTGCTGCATAAAAATTCCTTCTTTATATCTGTTGAAATCTGTTTTTCCGTTAACCAGCAACCCAAACAAAAATGTCACCTATATGAGACACTAGCGACCCGCCCCGGCTCCGCACGTGTGCAATGCTGATACCTACCAGAAATTCAAGGACACATCTGGCGCCCCAGTTGAAATATTAAAAAATCCTTTCTTATTGCTCATCTACAACATAAAACGAACCTACATACAAAATATCAGCCTTCGAAAATATAACGGTAAGGAGAGGCAGTGATGAAAAGGTAATTTTCATATGTAAACACGGCCATGGGGGCAACACTCCTACTCTTTATGGGGAAGTCCCAGTTGTGATATTTAAAAATCCTTTCTTAGTGCGCATCTAAGACCTAAGAAGCACCTATATACCAAATTTCAGCTTCCAAGAACTTACCAGTACGGAGAAACAGAGATGAATGAGTGTGAATGACTCACTCGTTTATAAGTATAGATAAGTGTCTGTCCTCTGAGCAAGAAGAGGATCACTCGACAGAACATGTTAATACAGAATTGAAGAATTTAATTCTCCAATGTGAGCGTGGCGAGCTTGAAGGTAGTTTAACAAAAAATTGTTCATATGTGGCCTTGAATCTGCAGAAAGTAGAACATTGTGGAACGGTTATGGAAGCTATATGGCGTGGTAGCTCTTCCTCTCCCATCCGTAAAAAAAGTTACCGTTTTTACTTGAAAGGCGCGCTTTTGAAGATAGCTGTTCTTGAAGAGCCCAGAACATTCGAGGGCATCCCACAACATTCCAGAATCTCCGAGGGCATTCCAGAACATCTCGGAACATTCAAGAATGTGGTGAAATGTTCCGTAAATATCATGGAACGTTCGGGAACATCCCAGATCATCAAGTGGTTCAATTTTATAGAAGCCCTCTATTCTCCATTCATAAACATGGTATTCGTCTTTTACCTGGAAGATGTGCTTTTGGGCCTTAATTTTCGCCTTCTACAAAATTCCAGAACAATCGATAGTGTTCAGGAGCATTCCACAAAATTCCAGAACATTGTAGATTGTTGTGAAGTGTTCAGGAATAGTATCGAACATTTCAGGTCACTGCGAAACATTCTAGAACTGTAGGATCTTCCAACAGGGACTCCAGAACTTTGACAATTGATAACCGCCATCTTGTTGAAGCTACACATGTCAAATCAGTTGTCATATATTCAGTCTGTTCTGCCAAATCACCATGGACAGATATAGCTTTCAACAACACGTTCAAATAATAAAACTGTCTTATCAAAATGGGTGTTCTCTTCGGGCAACGAATAAATAACGATTTCGCGTCGCACACAAGTACTCGGCCTTTCGCAGACCACAATTTGGCGAATTTTGCGTCGTGACTTGGGCCTGAACCCCTACAACTGACCCAGGAACTGAAGGTTTACCAACTTCTTTTGGCCTGAATTGGATGATATGGACACCCAATGACGTGTGGTTTCAACAGGACGGCGTTACATGCCACATAGCTCATGCCACATTGGATATTCTGCATGAGCGATTTGAGGGCATGTGGAGGTGATATGAACTGGCCACCTAGATCATGCGATTTGACACCGTTAGATTCTTTCTTGTGGGGTTTTCTTAAGTCGTAGGTGGATGCGAATAAGCCACAAACCACAACGGTCCTCAAAACCAACATAACCCATGTCATCGGCAAAAACTTATTTCTCCTAAAAAGATACCCCTTTCAATTCAATACAAGTGCTCTATTCAAACTGAGGAAGTTTTAACTGGTAGAACAACCACAAAACTTTGGATAAATTTCAGATTTGGATTTGTACCACTATAAGAATAACTGAAAGTTATCGTATGTGGTCGGGATATCTACAAGAAATGTTTTCCTGTAATGACATAAAAAACTTACTTTAGACGTTTCCGTGTGGAAGGTGAGCTCAGCATTGAAAAGCGATTGGAGATTCGTGACGAGGAAAAGAACTCTGGAATCATAAAGGGCCGGCAGTTCGTCGTGTAGTTCCGAATTCAATATTTCGTACGTCCTTTTGGCTTCTTCTAATTGTTCTCTGCCTTTCGCGATTTTAGCTTCGTCTCTCTTTTTCATGTTCGTCTGGAGGGCTTGGAAGCTATGTCGTTGACTGTCGTAGTCGACCAGTTTACGACCTCTTTTGTCAATTTTTTTCTGGAAACAAACGAGAAATTGGTTTTATCAGAGAGAAATAAAGGATAATACATACTTTCGAAACTGTATGAAGAAGTGGTGGTTACTAGAAATATTTAACTATGTAATAATCGACATGGATTAAGGAAAAATCGTTCTTTTAAATCCGCAGCCTATGATTTTCTCAATAGTATATACTCCAGAATTGATGCTATATTTTTTTATCTGTTAACCAGATTTTCTATACATAAAGTTAGTGAGGCTTGGTTTTCCACATAACATATTACTGTTAAATACAACAATATCATGTCCAAGGAACATCATGTAACATCAAGAGTTCTTCAGGGATCAGTACTGGGACCTTTACTTTTTTTTGTTAACGATCTCTCAGAACATTTTGAAAATTGTCATATAGCTATGTTTCCAGATGATACTACAATGACAGTTACTGGAGCCACACTGGAAAATGTAGTAACAAATGTCAAACGGGTTATTGATGGATTTACGTCATGGGCGAAGGCAATCATTTTTACATCAAATATTCCAAATCTGTTTCAATTAAATTTTATCACAAAGAAAACTAACATACTGATGGAATAAAGATGTCTGTTGGAATAAAGATGTCTGTCGCATTATGTGAAATTTCTAGAAACCATGTTAGATGAATCTCTGAGTTGGGATCTGCATATTAATTGTTTATGCAAGAAACTTAATTCAGCATTTCTTGCTATAAACAAATGAAATTGTAGATAGTAGAGTAGAATTTCATTTAACAATGTTACTGTGACCTGCCATACATTTATTACAGGTCACAGTATATAAAGAGAAATATTGCAATAAAAATAACATGTTGAATAAAAGGAATATACAGGACGTTCCAACGATGACTTGACCTCCCCTGTAAGTCAGAAACGGACATGTAATCGAAAATTTCAAAGACCACGTCAATTTTTATTTTTAGGGGGACTAATTCTGATATGAAACTACCCACCCCAGTTTTTTCAATAGCATGGGGGGTTGAGTGATACATCATTTGAAAGATTTTTTGTCTTTCTATTATTTCTGTACTATTTTTAGAAAATTGGTTCATTGGTTATTGAGACATTAAATGTCGAACGCTTTATTTTAGAAAAAACAGAAAATTCGGTATCGTTCATTTTAATGAGGAAATCAACAATAAATAATATCAGTGGAAACAAAATCAACGGATAAATTGTTCAAAATGACTACCACCTAGTTCCATACAATAATACAGTCTACTATCGAAAGCGTTCTGTATATTATTCAAGATGTTCGGAGTCAGCAATCGGTATTCTCTAACAATTCTCTGTCGCAGGTCTTCTAGTTTTGTACGCTCAGTAGAGTCCACTTTGGACATCAAGTGTCCCCAAAGAAAGAAGTCCAAAGAAGTCCATCGGTGTGAGATCAGTTGATCTAGCTGGCCACGCCACTGGACCTCTTTTGCCGATCCAACGCATTGGAAAACGTTCGTCCAAAAACTGTCTCACAACATGTGGGGGTGCACCATTCTGTTGGAATGCTATTTCATTTTCTACTGAATTGTGAACATTTTCTAAAATTTGTGTGATCATAGAATCTACACAGTCCTGTAATAGATTTAAGTATGTGTCTCCATTGAGATAACGTTCAATGAAGAATGATACAACAATATGATTACCAAGAATGCCGGCCCAAACATTCAATTTTTGTGAAGTTTGTGAATGTGTTTCCGTCACCAAATGAAGATTCACATCGCTCCAGTAACGACAATTATGTTTATTTACTTCACCATCAACTTGAAAGAACTTTCTACTGAGAAACATGTATATTAGTCATTGGGTTATTAGTCAATTTATCGCTGAACATCTCAGCGATCAGGATCATCTTCGTTTAATTCCTGAACTAGCCGAATTTTGAAAGGATGGCATTCGTAGGCTTTCAAAATCCGAAAAACACTAGTAGCTGATACACCAGACGCTCTAGCTACTTGTCTGTTAGATTGTTGATTATCCATTTGTGCATGTCCTACAACTTCAATTTCAACTCCCGTCATTTCAGACAGGACGGGATACTTCATGTTTTCTGTTGTGAACAGAACCTGAAGTTCGAAACCTATCCATTAACTGTATACCGTATTGATGGCTCACGTTGTGGTCTGGATGATTCGTATTATAAATTCTTGCAGCAGCTTTAGCACATTAATTATTTCGATAATATATTGCACCAGTTTTTGTTCTTTCTTCAGTAGAATAATCCATTGTGGAACACAGTGAACAAAGATGACTGAATAATAATTCGTGAAGAAGTGACAGTGGCTAATTGTCTGCGACAACTAGACTCAACAAAAACTACCAGTGCAGAAAAAACTAATAGTGTCGTTCATTTCAAAACGTTTACTACTAATCAAATAAATTCTACGAATCTAGAAGACTCCCGACGTCTTTAATAATGTAAGGGACGCTTTCGAATATGGACTGTTTTGTATGGAACTAGATGGAGGTCATTTTGAACACCTTTTCCGTTGATTGTGTTGCCATTGATATTACTTCTGTTGATTTCCTCAACAAAATGAGCGGCAGCGAATTTTTTCTTAAATAAAACGTCCAAAAATGTTGAAAATTATTATTGGCTGACCAAATAATCATTTGATGCTAAAATATAATATATTATGGGTATTTTAATGAACTTGCTTGGTTGAAATATTCCATTATATTGCAGAAACTTTTCTCGAGGAAAAACTTTTTGACGACTATTTTGAATTTGATGAATTCGAATGCTTTCACTAATTTATCGAAAATATTCTAATTTAGGTTCAGAGAATTTTTGTTACTCACAACTAGTCTGTGCCGTTGGGATTCAACATATCTGCAAATCTTGTGTTATACTGATGTATATCGAAGTGTTTTTTAAATTTGTTTGTGTTTTTATGTATCTCTAACAAAACGATGTATATGTTATAAGGAAGACAACGTCATGATACCATGATACAGTGATCTATGTTTCCTACATTTGCTAAAATACAAATGGCTTTTTTCTGATATCGAAATACCATTATTGCATTACTTGAGTTGCCCCAAAGTAGAATATCATATTATAGTATAGAATGAAATGAATAGAAGTAAGATAGTTTCAATACATTTAGATTGGTGACTGGTTTGAGTTGTTTCAGAACAAATAAAACTCTAGAGAGCTTACGAAGTAAACAATGGCGGCGCAAGACCTAAATTTAATGTGAGCAACTTACATGTCGCGAGGCCCTCTGATGATGTAAGAAGAAGGGTTTATAAAATATTCATTAAGAAACACTTAACCAAAATTTTTACTCACATATTTTTTTGGGACATTAAACAACAAAATTCAAAGAATAAAAATCCTGACTCAAAAGTAATAAAAAACATCTAGTCTAGGTATTGAAACCCCAGTCAAAGTCACTGAAACTGCGGCTATTTACTCATGGAGACCTTTAAAATGAGCCCAAACACGTCACGTCTACTGTAAGTTGCCGAGGAGTTGGCCATTTGCAGACTGTTCTGGTTGTAGCATCAAGTACATAAGTACTATTGGAAATATCGAATTTTTATTTCGATCAGTGTTATCGTTTTAAAACTATGTAACACTATAATTTATTGTGATAGTGTGATTGGTGAAGAGGACCGGGAAACATCTGTATATCGAAAACCCACTCACACAGGACAGTACCTGAACCAGAAATCCAACCACCATCAATTGACTTAGAGAGGAATCATCAAGACTCTACTAGACCGTGCTTTCGAGCTCTGTAATATAAAGGAAGGTCTCGAAAATAAATAGGCATAATCAAAAATGACCTTCAACGGAATGGTTACTCCAGAGTGACGGTAGAACAGGCTTTAGCTAGAAGACAGCAGGAGCTCCACAAGGAAGAGAAGCCGCCACAACCAGTACTGTACTCCCTTACCTTACCTTACCTTACCCTGCGAGTGCGGAGAATCATACATCGGTGAAACTAAGAGGCCATTGAAAGTTCGCATTGCCGAGCACAAGAAACACACACATCGAGGAGAAACCAGCGAATCCGGAATAGCAGAGCATGTTTGGACTCATCAACATAATATCAATATCAAGTGGGCTCAAGCTGAAATCATCCACAAAGAGGAACACTGGTTTAGGAGAAAATTCAAAGAAGCCGCTTATATGTTGTCCAACAACGCATTATTTAGTCAAGCTAGCGTAGTATACGTAACAAATGGAAACCTCTTATCAAGCGAAAAACGACCAACTTCCGCCAATCGGTCATCTCCCACTAAAACCAATGAAGCGGAAAGAGAAAAGAGGGGATAGGTGGAAGGTGAAAGCACCCGAATGACCTATAAATAGTCATACTGAACCCTGAGGTACTGCATGTTGTATCGGTTTGATATCAGATTTGCTATTATCAAGATCAACATACTGATACCTGTTTTCAAGATGGGAGCTGACGAGTCTCAGAACGGTATACCTCTTAAAACATAATGACTCAATTTTTCAATGAGTCAAGCTTTGGTCAAGTCGCATAAAGTCGAGAAAGTGTGCTTGCATTGTTCAAGACAGTCCACTATGCCATTCACCATCTTGTAAGCAGCCTGAATTGTGGATTTGTTTTTCCGAAATCCATATTGGGATTCACCAAAATACAAGCTCGTTTCAAAGGAGGAGTATAATCGCTTCTTTAATAATTTTTAGATGATTTTTCCAATAATGGAGACAGTACTAATTGGACAAAATTTGTCTAAAGATGATTTATTGCCTTCCTTGAAGATTTGATAAATGAGGTTGATTATTGGCATGACTATTCGCTCAGCAATAGCTCTCATTGAAAAGTCATTTAGATCATGTATGTGACGTGAACTAAGTGAACTCAGTACTTTCTGTGGGCATACTGGTTCTAAAAAGAATGAATCTAAAAATAATGAATGTTAAGCATCTATTTTGCAATCACATATCCACATATTTCTTAAAATATAATATGGGGATGCGGTAGAGGTTTCAATAGTTTATTTGTT